GGACACGAAAAATCTACAGAACTTTTAGAAGTAGTAAAGGAAGAAGTACCTATAACCAAGAAAATGAGAAATTTATAATGCATTAAATATGCATTAAAATTGGAATGTATCAAACATACAAATACACTATTCCATCACAAAGTTTTCATTCACAGCACGATCTATCCTACACCTATCCTACATCTATCCACCATTCCTCAGCATTCTTCCTCGTTTTCTTCAAGTCGGCAAAACTTTACAACCTTCCAGAATCAGCAACAACCATCCGCGATAAACTGTGCTCGTCAAAGTATCGCGAGAACGAAAGGGAAAAGTAAAGAAAAAAAGTGGAAGAAAACCTTCAACGCTGAATAATTCAGCGAAGAATACGAAGGTTGGTGAACCGAGTAGTATATTCGAAAACTTGGAACTTCTAATTGGCGAAAAATTCGGGCGGAGTAATCTCCTGTCAGGCATCGTCCAAATTCCCATCGCGCTATGAAATATCGAATGATGCTCGTTCGTGATAGCACCTACGTGTTTTACAGACATTAAGCCCCACGCAAACGTGGTGCCGGGGCGCATAATAATAAAGCGCGTGGCTCGTCGATCGTGCTGTAATCACCCGAATAAAGCCACCTGACGATGCTACGATGTGGCTGCATTTGTCACTCTCGTGCCGGCGAATAAAGTGTTTGCATACTCTTATAAAACGATGGAATACTGTGATAACAGGCTCGAACGATAAAGCCACGATGTATCTGGCATGTACATCGCGATAAGCAAGGGCTGCAAAGCGATCCGAAACGGCGTAAAAGTGCGTTAACCATAAGTTATCGTGTGTTTTCCATGGAAAAGCCACGCTCGACGAATATTAATCATTCGCGAATATTTTCGTGGAATATCGAACGGATATTTTTAAAATTTGCTCTTTTTTCTCTTATCACTGAAGATTAATTTTAAAGTAATTAGAAAATTGCCTAAAGATTTCTGTGACATTTTGAGAATTCAGAATTATCTTTTGTTTACATTATTTAAATGCCGCAAAGCAGTGAAATCTGATTGATGAATCTGAGAAGAAGGGGAATTTAAAGTTGACGAGTTCTTTGATTTTACGTGTTATTTTTACGATTATAAAAATTACGGCGTTGAGTATGAAAATTCTACGAAAATTGCTCAAAGTTAAATAAAATTAACTTTTTACTGAATTGTATGTATTTGTCAATTGTTATGAGATTTTTCAAATAGTTTAAGAAAAAAGGTTCGTGCTATGAGTCAGTTTAATAATAGTAGCATATAAGGGTTTATTTACTCGTTTATTTAGCGGAGGACTGCGTTCGGTACACCTGTACTCTAAATAAATGAAACTGCAGACAGCGGCAGGTGTGTCAGGATAACTACATGGCCGTAATAACGGTAGTAAAGTGACCATCTATGAGGAGAAAATGTTAGGCAACATAAACTTAAGTGCTCCCAGTACCTCAAAAAAATATACTAATCATACTGTAATAGGTATAAATTAGCACTACTATCTGTACACCTCCTACCTAAGCCACAATTATCAAAGTGAATCGTCGCAGCCATTTGGAATGGCACACTGCAACTCAAACAATAATCAACATAATTACACAAAAATTACTTACTGCAAGAAAAATTTCAAATCCCTCGATTAACAATTACCAAACAATGCTTTATCCCAAAAATCGCTTAAAAATGACTCTTAATCGATTTACCCCACAGTCACGAAAAAAAAAAACAAACACTGTCCAATTCCCTGCGTCGTAAAGTAACTAAAATTACATAGCAGCTCTTTTAAACTGCCATCTTAAACCCAACATTTTATTTAAAAAAAAGCTAGCAGGTGCCTTGGTGATTCATAACCCGAAGTGCACGATCACAATCGATCTTCAAGGAACCTTACATTTGCTCGTAACATTTCGATTTCTCTTTATCAAACGACCAGATACATACATACGTTCAACATTTCGCATTTGCTCGTAATTACCCGAGATAGGTACCTATACACTCGTCATTCCGTTATCCTTTATCAGTGGCTTCTGATGAAAACAAAAAAACGGAAATTTACGAGGCGCAACTACTTCGTTTCCTCCTCGCCTTGTACAACCGTTGTCACAGTGTTGAAAATTCTTTTTCTGCATACTTTCAAGTTTCCTTCTTTTTTAACATATGTACCTACGTACGTACGTACATTTGGAACACGGTATACACGCACGGAACAGCGCATGAGAGGTCTGCATATATGCATAAGCGCGGCGCACGTGGTGCCACGGCAAATCGTAATGCCGTAATAATGGATGCACTACCAGCAACAGTTGTCCAGCAGCACGAGGGGACGCGAACGAAGATATGTTGATCGAACGGAACGGGACAGACGGAGAAAGCGGAACGGAATAAGTAGCGAGAGGAGTCCTCCTCTCTTCGTGCGTGTTTCGCACGTTCCCAACTACGGTCTTCTATGTGTTTACACCTCTCCTTTCAAAACGATCAACGAACGGATGCCATTTCGTTTCGTTTCGCGTTTCAACCCGATAGACTTTTATTTCTTGTTTCAATAAGGAGTTCTCAATATTGTTTGAACACCGGAGGAGATGTTGCACAGGGTGTTCTGGAAATTGTGGTGCAAGTGGAGAGCAGATGATTATTTAGGTAGAAGTAAGTCGAAAATGTAGGATAGAAGGTTCTCTTACAGAGCTCTGTTTTCGAGATTTTTTCTAAATTTTTCTCTATAATTACTTATGCAATTAATAAAAATATCGTAGTAGACAGTAGCATAGACGAATAAGTTGGTGAATTGGCCTTGAGCCAATAGGCACAACTTCTACTAAGGCAAAAATAATAAAAGCTCTGTTTTCGAGGAGATCAAATTTGAATATTCGTTAAGTAAGTGTCATAGTCTGCTTGGTTCACCTAATTTGACTATTCACCAATATTTCTGGCAATCTGAGTTTGGTATAAGTTAAAATACTGCAATAAGTTTCGGTAATATATTTATTTTGTTAATTGAAAAATTTCTGAAGAAATCTAAAAATTAAGGAAGCATAAAACCATTATAAAGTATATTTTTTTAGGCAGATCAATTCTTCGAAAAATTTGTCATAAGAAAGTATTAGAAATGTCGCCTCTCCGTGAGATATTTCAAATTTTTTAAAACATGCTTCCATGAACACTTTCGAACACTCAAAAAAATACGCAGCTCCGTTTAAAACATAATCTAATCGCACTTGTAGAAAAAATCGTTTCCTAGAATACATACTAGAACTCTTTAAAAACGACAAAACTTTCCTCTACGAATTTTGTCTAGCTTCACTTATAACCGAACTATAGTCCGAATCGCCCTGTGTAGTAACGTACGTAATCAACAATTATTTAATAGGAAAATAGCGAAAAATAATTAACAAGTGTTTTGTAATTCTCGCGTATCGAGAACGTTCCACGCTGCAGATCGTGTAAGTAAATGATACATGCGTCGAATACTGAGTAATCGGATCCATTGAATATTCAAACATTGTACCAACGATAAAGAATGTTTATCCTCGATCTATTATTGAAATCGTTTGTTTAAGAAATATTAATACCGGTTATCCCGGTAAATCCCCTCGGCTGATAACAGCCGCGCGAAGAAAACTGCAACTACCGCGTGTCTGGAAACCACGATGCTGTTGCATCACCGATAACGCGGTATTAAAAAGGGGAGAGAAAAAAAGAAAAAAAAAGTGAGACGACGAAAGTAAAAATTGTATTACGTACGAGTGGCAGTGTATTTTCCTAGGCGTATAATATCGCGTACCAGGCCGGTATCGCCGGGTTTTTAACAGCGAAAATAGGTAGGCCAGTATGTGCGGCCCATA